GCCACAGCATTTTGCACCAGCTGCAGCTTCCGGATTTGAGACAAGGGAAGCCCCATGTAGAGAGCATTACAGTAGTCCAGTCTAACACCTCCCCCCGCCCCCTTCTCCAGCTCCAAGATGGGCATGGGGAAAAGGCTGGGGTCAATTATCTGTGGGTGGAGAAGGTGAGAAAATCTGTGATCCTTTGTGAAGAAAAACCTTAAATTTCTTCCTGCGGCCTGGGCGCGGAAAAGGAGCTGGGATCGTTTGATTTACTAAGCGGCCGTTTCTGTCCCTGCCTTTTGATCAGCTAATGAATGAACACATCCTATCAAGCTGTCATTTTTATGGATTTTTTTTTTTTTTGTGCAAATAAGCCTTTTGAAAAGCAGGGAAATTATTACCCCTTCAGGGAGTTAGATCTTGACCTTGGCCATCAAGTGAAAGCGCAAGCCACAGGATTCAGAGGGGTTTCTTTGACTCCCCCAGCTATGAAATGTCTTTGGCCTTCGGATAATGTCACTCACTCGCCAGAGATTGCAGGGAGGGAGGGAGGGAGGGGAAGGGACTGGCTGTCAGCTGGACTTTGCAAGATGTTCTTTGTAACATAACATAGTAGATGGTTGACAGGAAGTGCAATAGAAATAGAATGCCTTTACTGTTTGTGTGTGTGAGGGCTCAGTGTGTGTTAAAAAAATTAGCAAAACAAAACCCTTTGCAGTGAGACGACAATTGTCAAGAATGTTGTTTCTGTTTGTCTGCCTCAAACATGTCAGTTTTGGAAAATATGCTACGCGCGAAAGAGTCAAGGCATTTTAATTGCTATGTTGTGTGTGTGTGTGTGTAAACTGTTGTCAGATTGCAGCTGATTTATGGTGACCCCTCGTGGGGTTTTCAAGACAAGAGAGGTTCAGAGGTGGTTTGCTATTGTCTTCTTCTGAGTAGTGATCCTGGACTTCCTCAGTGAACACCCATCCAAGGACCAGCTAGGCCTGACTAGAGATGGTGAAGGCCCGAAAAAAACCCGGAAAAATTCGGGGGGTGGGGGGTGGAACGGTTTTTTCCCTGAAGCCTTTTTTGGGTTTTTTTCCGAAAAATTGAGAAAATAAAATAAAATAAATTGATTATGGAACGTTTTATTTTAACATGATGAATAACATATTTTAAGACAAGGTGTTCAAATATTTCCAAAATCATTTCTAAAAAAATATGTATGGTATCAGATTGATCTAATTTCTGTGCACTGAGGACAAGCAAGTCCTAGGTTACCAACTGAACTCTCCAATGCAAGAACAGGATGCATTTCTTCCTTTAGGAGGAGCGATTGACACGAGAAAAGGAAAAGGTTTCAGTTTTGTTTTTGCATGTGGGTGGGTATTCTGTTTGTAATAACTGTTTGGATACACTATATTTTTAATAGGCTAGTTGTGATAATTCCAGGCCAAGTAAAAATGTCCAGAGTCATATTTTATGTTCCTAAAGTAACAGAATGACTTTCAATGTGGAAAAGAAAAAAGAAGTGCTAATGTAGCTTCCCCCCCCCCAAATTTTTCCAAAAATTTCCATTTTTTCCCAAAAAAACTTTGGGGGGGGGGGACGGGTGTTTTTCCAAGCTTCAAAATTTCTGGAAATTTTACATCTCTAGGCCTGACCCTGTTTAGCTGTGGAGATCTGATGATGAGATCGGGCTAGCCTCAGCCATCCAGGTCAGGGCAATAGCTATGTTATTCCTACAGTATAAAAAACACAACGTGGAAAATCAGTACCATGTATTTGGATCCGCTAGTGGTGATGACAGTGGGTGTAAGCTTTTGAATGACACAGAACTCTTAGTCGAACTGAATGTTCGTGAATCTGAGGGGGGGGGGAGGTTTCAGCACTAAGGGCTGGTTTTTAATATTGACATTGCAGATGTACACCTTGGTGTCTCCCAGCAAACGCTATAAAATGCGAAGGGGCGATGGCTCCTCTTAAGGGGGAGCGCATCCCAGAGAACCGTGGGCCGCGGTCTCTGTGGCATGCGTTCTCCTGCAAGCGAACAGACATGTGTCTCCCTTGCCAATTTTAAACTGATGATCACTACAGTAAACACTGGAGCTCTCGGGTGCAAACGTCTCTGCCATATAAAGTGTGAACTGACCTTTAATTATGCCGCTAAACAAGCATGCCAGTCCAGTTTCAACCTATGCAAATGCTCCAAGGCCCTGAGCTGTCAAGGAAATGTAGACGTTCCCTCTGGAATGTACATATAGCACTGATGGTGATCTGCTGATGTACAAATCTCCAAAAGGCAGCCTGGTACATCTCTCAGACTTGATTCGCGCTTAGAGTCCAGGGGAACCTTTAAGACCCACAAAGGTTTATTCAAGGCATAAGCTTTTGTGTGCTTCTCTCAAATACATTGGAGTGGAAGGTAGAGTTCAGACTTATAGACAGAAGCTGAACAGCAAATTAACCTGTGACATGAAGCTGTTTTAAGATATGCAAAGACAAAACTAGATAACAAGGCAAGGTTATAAGGTCAACAGCAGTGTTCCCTCTAAGCTGAGTGAGTGTGAGCTAGCTCACGGTCTTTTAGCTTCCGGCTCACACGTTTTTGCCTTAGCTCAGGAAGGAGGGCTCCAGAGCAAACTAATTCATGCAGTAGCCAGATGGCTCGCTCACAAAATTAAGGCCAGTAGCTCACAAAGTAGAATTTTTTGCTCACAAGACTCCACAGCTTAGAGGGAGAATTGGTCAACAGCTGTTTTGATTTAATTAAGGGGGGGAGGACAGCAAAGCAAGAAATATGTCAAAAATTGGGGATAAATGTGTAAAGGCATCTTTTCTAATTGTGGGATGCAAACTGAGACTCATGCTTGACTTTAAAAAAAAAATTGTGTTTGTAGCCACATGAGCCTCTTTTCCCAGAACAGTAAAACCAAGCTTTTGTAGCAATAACCTCAAGATAAGAAGTTTCGCCAACTACACCGGTTCCTGCTGGGGGAGCCTGAGATCTTGCAACCCCAAAAGGATATTGTGACCTCCCCTGTATATGTGGTCGAGCAGCGATTTATGGATAGGTAATTAAGTGTGCTCAACAGAAGTGTGTTAAAAGAGAATACTCTGTTTTATTTTATCCCCCCCCCCCTTTCTTTCTCTTGCACTTTCACCAAGTGAGAAATCTGTCTTTCGGCTCCGCTGGAACACGGGGACTTGTATTTTTGTTGGTTTCCTGGCTTGCATCCAGCCAGCGTTGTTCAAATTCAGAGCGGTCCCAGCTATGCTGTTATGTGTTTACAGCCGTTTCCATTGGGGAGCCACCATGTGGTCGCCGTGCAGCCCTGGAGAGCATGTTTGCTATGCGGAGGGGGTTTTTTTGGACGCCTGCCGCCTTGTGCTGTTCTAGTCAGTTCGTAGAAAGCGGCGAGGATTCCAGCTCTGGAAAGCAAACTGTTACATACTTTTCGGAAACCTCCGCAGAGAACGGGGGGATGATTGGGCTTTCGTGGGGGAGACCCGGGAGGCCCTTCTGGAATGCCGGAACGACAGGGCGACCATTTTGTAAAGCGATACCATGCCTACCTATGGCCTTATTAAGCATTCTAGGTGTATTTCTGCGTACAAGAAGGCGACTGGGTTTTGCCTGGAAGGGACTCCCTTCATATCTCCTAAGCCTGTCTGTGAGCAAAGATGGCAATGGCCAATATGGATTCAGGTTTCTTCACACACACACACACACACACAGACACAAACCGGATCTCTGATACATGCTTTGGAAGTGGGTCCTTAAGGCAGGATCTAGAAGAATTGGGTTCTTAGTCAGGGGTCGTTTCCTGCAGGAGCGCACAGGAGCGGAGCTCCGGCAGTAAAGAGCCCAGGGGGCGGGCACATGCAACAAGCTCCACCCCCTGCTCCCAGCAGCCCTCAGTCAGAGCAAGAAGCAGCCAGGTAAGCTGCAGAGCCCCCCCCTGGTCCCCCGGTCCAAAACAGTCCAGTGGCCCCCTTAAGACCAAGTTTTATTCAGGTACAAGCACTCCCTCTTCTGTGAGGGCAGATCTGCATGTGTGTCCCCCCCCCCCAATAGCTAGCAATCCAAAACAGTCCAATGGAGCCTGAGCGGTGGGTGTTGCCTTCTGACACACTTCCGGTGAGGTCAGGGTGTGTAGCATATGCAAATAAGTTATGCCAATGAGCTCCTGCACCTCTTTTTTTACGAAATGAGCCCTGTTCTTAGTGACCCCTACGTCCAGCATCTGAGGTTGACGACTTGCAGGAATTACAGCCGGTCTCCAGACAGGAGCAATTGGTTGCCCTGGAGAAAATGACCGCCTTGTAAGGTGGACGCCTGTGGAATTATATCCTGCTGTGGTCCCACCCCTCCCCAAGCTCTGCCTTCCATAGGCTCTGCCCCAAAATCTCCAGGACCTTCCCAACACAGAGTTGTCAAACCCTGCCCAGCACCTCTTGAGCAGTGGTTTGATTCACCACATTTCTCTGTCCAGCATGAAAACCTTGATCTTTGCATGCCTGGCCAGATCTGGGGTGTGGCAAACCTGGACATTCACCGAGGGCCCAAGTTCAGCAACGGGAGGTCCCGCCACACAGTTGCGCTGTCGTTCATTTTTGCTCAGAGCCAGTGTTCCCTGTAAGCTGAGTGAGTGCGAGCCAGCTCACCGTTTTTCAGCCTCCGGCTCACAGATTTTTGTCTTAGCTCCGGAAGGGATGGGGCTCCAGAGCAAGCTAATTTATGGAGTAGTCAGATCGCTCGCTGACAACTTTAATGCCAGTCGCTCACAAAGTAGAATCTTTGCTCACAGGACCCCACAGCTTAGAAGGGAGCATTGCGAACATCCAGGCAGGACTGAAGGAACCTGAGAGGATTCTCCATGTGCCCACATTGTCTCTTTCTAGTTACGGTGGTCCTCTGAGACTGTTCTGTTTGTGGGTACATGTGGGTGGGGACATTTCACTGATGTATTGTGTGCTCATGAACACTATCCCGGTGGTAATGCAATTTCCCACCCCTTCTTTCAGTTGACATGGATGATGAAGATGGCCGATGCTTGCTAGATGTAATTTGGTAAGTAAGTGCTCTCCCTGTGAATTGTATTTTCTCCAGTATTAAGTGTTGCCCTTTTATCCGTGCTCGGCTCAAAGTCTTGGAATCGCTCTAAAAGGCCCCCCGTCCCTGAAACTTCCGTGCTTGCCATAGTGAACCTTGGCTTGTATGGAATATTATAAGCAGCCTTTAGCTTTTGCTTTACTTTTGTGGTACTGAGGCCTGGAACCAAAGGCTTTCTGCTTCTATCCAGCAATAGGAGAAGGATAGAGCCTATTACGAAACTGTTGATGAAAGTAAGTTAAGCCTTGGGCAGTTTTTTCACCAGGATCAGGGAAAAGGCTTAGATAATATTTAGCGCTAAACTATCAGACCCGTGGGGTTTTTAAAATCTCTTCTGAAGAGTACAAAGACAAACTTTTGTCACTGACTTTGTGATCGAGACTGTGCATGGAAGGAAAAATAATTTTTTGGTGATGGAAGAAACCAAACGAAAAAAAATACCACCATGAGCCTTGGTTTTTCCAACCTCCAGGTGGGCATACAAAAATATATATCACTGTGTACAATAAATATATGTTTATGGTAAAACAGTTTTACTGACAGTTACTGACAAGGTGCTGTCTGAATGTAGACCTGCACTTGATGTATTGTTTGGGTGAAACATATTTTTCTCTGTGTATTGTTTGCGTGAAATATATTTTTGATAGTATTTGACACCAATATTTAGACAACAGTATTGAAAAACATAAAAAGAAAAAGAATAAAGCATAAAATTGTTTTACCGTAAACATATATTTATTGTACACAGTGATATATATATATATATATATTTGTATGTCTTCCTAACACTGTGACCCTCAGTTTTTGTATTAACCTCTCCAGGTGGGGCCAAACACAACATCTGTGACAAAATTAACGAAGAGTCAGTAAAGATATGTGTGCAAAATCATTTACTGTAGTAATTCTGTAGAAAATTCTCTTCTATTATCACTCACACGCAACGAATACTGCGCAATATCAACAAATCCGTTTCACAAGGATTGCTTTATCTGAGCGTGCAGCAATCACAATTCTTATCCATTTCTACTTATCCACTCTTGAAGGAAACATCCTATGTTGACTTTCTAATAACAGAACCCAAGGTCTTCACAATGTATTAGCTGGATTCAACCTCTAATAACAGAACCCAAGGTCTTCACAATGTATTAGTTGGATTCAACCTCCAGGTGGGGCCTGGAGATTTCCCAGAATTGCAACTGATCTTCAGACTACGGAGATCAGTTCCCCTGGAGGAAATGGCTGTTGTTGTTGTTTTTTTTTGGGGGGGGGCTCCAAGGCATTATACCTTACTGAGGTCCCTCCCCCCCAGACTCCACCTTTCACAGGCCCCACCCCCAAAATCTCCAGGTATTTCCCAACCCAGATCTGGCAACCCTACAGAGTCCCCAAAAAGGGCAACAAAGCACTGAATTGGTTAAATATGTACACGGGAGGGAGAATTTTTAGAAGCCCACAAAACTATACTATAAAATATTTTGTCCCCCCTCCCAGTCCAGCTGAAGTTGGCTGCGATCTGATTCCCACCAAAAGCTATGAGGTTTAATTTAGTCACGGCCAACCTCTCCCATCACTTTCAGTGTCTCCCTACTTTTGATGTCGAAAGGTTGCAGATCCAGAAGAGTAATTTACACCGAAGTGTAGATTAAAACGACTCTGCTTTTCTTTATTCCTGCCAGCAAACAAAATTGCCGTCGGAGGCTGCATTTGCTACAAGTTCATTTACAACATTTTCATGCTGTTCACATCGGAAATGCAAAGGGTCTGAAGAACCCACCTTTTTCTTTTCCGGGGGTCAGCTCATTCAAAGAAGCAGGGAAGGAGGTTCTTTTTCTTCTACCGCTTTAGGGTGGCACGGGAAACAGGATCTGGCATTTTTCATGACACTGTTTTCGGCAGCCCTGACAGCGCACCAAACTTGTGCGGCTACTTTGCGTACCCAGGAGGCTGTTGGTCTTCGTCGAAGAGTAGTCCTCCGCCCCCCCCATGCCGTGTCAACAAACCGAGGCAACCCTGTGAGGAAATCTTGAATGTCACAAGACCTCCAAAACAAAGAAAACAGACCTCCCAGTGCAAGGACTACAAAGAAGCGTCAAACTGGGGAAGAACAGAATGGTGAACCCACTCAAGCACTCAGCTATGTAAGCAAATACAGTCACTTTTATACTCAGGTACTATACCAAAAACATACAAAATTACATACAAGGCATAATAGCCAAAACTGTACAATAGCTCAGTGATATATAATAGAACAATACAAGTTATAATGCTGATAGCCGAAGAACAATCATTAGAACCTAGACTCCCTAGGCTTTGAAGCTCAGTGTCATACAGACAGGTCCAATATGAGAAATCTTCATGGGAATTGAGGGCAAGTCCCAACATTAACTGTAGCAACCCTTGAGAAGAGGTGCCTTTAGAAATCAGAAAGGTGCAATTGCAAACCAAGATAAATCATAACACAGTATAAGTTGATTTGCTTCTGATGAAGTCTTGATACGAAACCAAGCTTTGTAATGATTGTTCCACTGCTATTATGACTGTTCTACTGCTATTAGCATTATGACAAGAAGCAGGACCCGCAATACTTGCGGGGGGGGAGTATTCCTAAATGTCTCCGCAGGTAAGCCTTCTCCCCCACCCCCTGGGTCCCAGCAGCAAGGCCTGAGAGCCTCCCAGCCGCCGGGCCCGCTACAGAGTTCCCAGAGCGTTCTCTGCGCATGCTCAGGGAACGCTCTTTTACTTTTTGGGAGGATTTAAATATCCCCCGTATATTTTTTTCAAGTTTTCAGATTTTTCTGCACACCTGGGGACTGCTCCAAGTGTGCAGGGAAATCTCTCTGCCCCCCAAGTGCCCCCGATGTGCGGATTTAGATATCCGCACTGAGGGGACAACTTGGCTATTAGATATATAGATTGTTCCACTGCTATTATGACTGTTCTACTGCTATTAGCATTATAACTTGTAGGTTCTAATGATTGTCCTTCGGCTATCAGCATTATAACTTGTATTGTTCTATTATATATCACTGAGCTATTGTACAGTTTTGGCTATTATGCCTTGTATGTAATTTTGTATGTTTTTGGTATTAGTACCTGAGTATAAAAGTGACTGTATTTGCTTACATAGCTGAGTGCTTGAGTGGGTTCACCATTCTGTTCTTCCCCAGTTTGACACTTCTTTGATGTCACAAGACCTCACAGCGTCTTGGTGGCTTTCCGGTTTTTGTTTTTTAACTAGGTAGACAAGCAACTCCGGGTCTGCATCAATACGTTTTTGGATCCCAGTTCGTAACATAGACCTATATAGATGCAATATGTACGTAAAGCTCTCGAACGTAGAATCACACATAGGTGTATGTGTGCGTGAGAAGAGGGAAATAAATAGTAATTCCTCTGTGTGTGTGTCTATTTTGATAAATAAAACATTACTCAACTCTCTGGAAATGGCAAGCTGGTTCTAACAGATAACAAAGGAGCGATTGGATCAGCTTCCCCATTCCCGATAATGGATCACTAACTTCTGTTCTGCTCCTTGCTTTTAAAACTGCAAGCCCTACGGGTCCTCCTTTAAATGATTCCCTGTATTGATTTTTCCCCCCAGTGATCCTCAGGCCCTGAACGATTTTTTACATGGATCCGAAAAGGTGAGCAGTCTGTCTCGTGCGCGTTTTCCTTTTCCGTGCTTAAGTTGATGCATGTTTAATTAACAAATGAAAATGCCTCCTTGAAATGCCTCTGGCTTGTGTGTGTCTAAGCGGAAAGCACTGGCAAGAGAGAAGGGGTGTGTGTGTCGATCCTAGAAGCAGGGAACTGGGAAGAAAGGGGCTCCACCAGTTTGTCCGAGAGAATTCCGTAGGTATGCTCCAGTCTGCAGGCATATCCCCCTCCTTTTTAGAAGCTATCAATGAAAAACTATTTGCTTCTTAATCGGAGTTGGGGGGGGACCCAATTCAACCAGCACAACCGGGAACTGATTATTTTACACCACCACCAAAGGAATCTAGCGCCTAATGAGAGGAAATGACCTGGCCGGTGGATGATGTGACATTTAGTCTCCATTCCCATGTCCTCCTTGACTTCTCGAACACTGTCAACCTTTTAAATTTACATTCACATACAGTAATTATTTTTTTTTAATCTTTTCAATTACAGATTGACAGTGATGATCTCCTGGACAACACAGGAGATGCAGCCAGTGCCTTTTTTGAAGGTGCTGGGGTACGTATATTTCCCCGCCCCCGCAGCGTTTTCAAAACGTGGTTTTATATTCATTCGAGAGACGTAATGTCTTGTCTTTGCACATTCATTGTAGACATTTTTTTAAAAACGTTAATGTTCAGTGCATGGCAAAGGTAGATTGGATGCTAGCTGACATTCCCGGGGTAGAAAGCAGGCATGGTAAGCAGACAATACAGAGGCATAGAAGGGCATTACAGGTGCCCTTAGCACCTGAGATCTCCCCCCTCCCTCTGAAAACGGTTAAGATGCTGGAAAGGGACGTGAACAAACTGGGAAGGGAAAGTATAAATCTACAAATGAAAAAGTGGAACTCTCCCAAAAAACATTTTCCCCAAAGAGAAGTAATGGTGTTAACAGAAATATATTAAATATACTGAATATATAAACACAGAGAACACTTCAAGAAAATGTAATGTAATGCATATCATAAAATCTCACAAAGCACGGAAAGATAATCCTTAAAGAAACACAATCCTAAATAGTATACAACACAAGCCCTCCAAGGGACAGTATCAGTCCATAGGAGAAAAAAAAAATACCGTCCAGTATACCCCAACTCTTTTTGCCTGCTAGGTTTGACACCATTGGTTTAAGAACATAAGAACATAAGAGATGCCAATGTTGGATTAGGCCAAAGGCCCATTCAGTCCAACACTCTGTATCACACAGTGGCCAGAAATACCAGTGCCATCAGGAGGTCCACCAGTGGGGCCAGGATATTAGAAGCCCTCCCACTGTTGACCCCCCCAAGCACCAAGATGACAGAGCATCACTTGCCCCAGAGTCCCTATCTATACCTTGTGGCTAATAGCCACTGATGGACCTCTGCTCCATATGCTTGTGAATTTGTTAAGAGGCTTTTGCCTCCGCTTAATAGAAGATAGAATTTTGATTTGTGTATGGTCATTGTAGCTACTTTGACTCATTATACCCTTTGATGAAGGATTTTCTTCGAAGCGGGTCTGAACATCACGTACGATACCGTCGTGGTATACTGGACAGTATTTTTTCTGTGGACTGATATTGCCCCTTGGAAGGCTTATGTTTTGTGGACTATTTAGGATTATTTTTCGTTAAGAATGATCATTCTGTGCTTTGTGAGACTTTATGATGTGCATTACTTTTTCTCGAAGTGTTGTGTGTGTTTATATATTCAGTATATTTAATATATTTCTATGAGGATCATTACTTGTCCTTGAAAAAAAAATTTGGGAGAGTTTTAGTTTTTCATTTGGAAAGGGACATGAAGCAAGGTGACGGCCCTGATTCTGACACTATTATTAAACAGAAACATGTGTGAAGGGAGCATGAAAGTTGCTTTATAAATAGACGGGCAGAGCAAGGGGCCAAATTGGTTGATGCAGTGCTTCGGAAATCTCCACGTTTTCTTTTAATGGTCGGTTGGCATTTTGATCCCTAACAACAACATTCAAGGTGGGACGGAGGGGGAAATCTGCTTTTTAATTTAACCACCTCCACGGGGAAGCTCGAGGTGGAGAGACCAGGGCAGGGAGGGTTCATTCTTTAGGCCCCGATCCATGTCCCGCACAAGCTCCAGCATGTAAGAGCCAGTTTGGTGTAGTGGTTAAGTGCGCAGACTCTAATCTGGGAGAACTGGGTTTGATTCCCCACTCCTCCACTTGCACCTGGCTGGATGACCTTGGGCAAGCCGTAGTTCTGACAAGAGCTGTTCTTGAAAAAGAGCCGTTTCTGTCAAGAGCTCTCTCAGCCCCACCAACCTCACAGGGTGTCTGTTGTGGGAAGGGGGAGGGAAAGGGAGTTTGTAAGCCGCTCTAAGACACCTTTGGGTAGTATAGGGCAGGGTATAAATCCAATCACTTCTCTTCTTCTTCCCCTCCCCACAACAGACACCCAGTGAGGGAGGTAGCGCCGAGGGAGCTCTCTCGAGAGCTGCTCTTACAAGGACAGCTCTGACAGAACTGTGGCTTCTCTCAAGAGCTCTCTCAACCCCACCTACCTCACAGGGTGTCTGTTGTGGGGAGGGGAAGGGAAAGGAGTTTGTAAGCTGCTCTGAGACTCCTTTGGGTAGTGAAGGGCGGGGTATAAATCCCATCTCTTCCTCTTCTAACCTGAAGAGCAGCTTGATTTCAGCCCCAGTTTGCTTGTAGCTGGTGAGGCACAAGATTGGCTGCGCAGGGTATCGGATTTGCACGGCCAGCCCATGTTTATTTTGCATTTTCTGCTCCCTTCCTGTCCTCTTCCAGCCTGGTGTTTTGTTCTGCTCTGTGGGGAAGGGAGCTCCTAATCACAGCAATCAGCTTAGTAAAGCCTCAGAAGTATTTGGGAGAGGTTTTCTTTCAGAGCGAGGTCAAGAACTTCCATTTCTGTGCCCTGGGAACTGTGGCACCTCTGAAGCACCTTCATCTTGTGTGCATGGGGTGAGTGCGTACGCCAGAGGTGTTGGTTGTGAGGTTTGAGAGGAGGCAGGAAATGCCCTCCTCTCTTTGCCCGCCATCAGTAGGATTCGGCATGCGCAGAATAAGATGCATGCGTTGTATTTTAGTGACGTATATTGAGAGAATTAAAACCAATTAAAGAATTCCTATGGAGGGTATATGGAGTTCTTAGAAGAAATCAGAGAAGGTTTTCTGGGGAAGATTAAATAGAGCAATCAGTGTGTGTGTTGGGGGGGGGAATTGTGATGGATCTAGAGAAGTAAAAGAAAATTAGGGATGGTGAGTCCTGGGCCAGATAATGGGTTTAACTGAAGTCATGTCCTAGCCTCCCACCCAGTTTTGGGACCCCTGATATAGAATATGTGAATGTTTCTGAGCATGTCAAGAGTTGCTTCCTGTCTGGGCAACCATACATGTACTATTATGCAGGGGGTTCGACTAGATGACCATGGAGATCCCTTCCAGAGCTATGATTCTATTCTATTCTATTCTATGAAATGGCGTTTTTGTTTCACCAACGGCCACAACCCGTTTTGACCCATTTCACAAAGAGAGGCCATCTCTAGGAGAAGGATGCAGTTCCATGTAGGGATGTGCATTTGGTTCATCCGAACCGAATGCACCCCCGAAAATGGCCCATTCGGACCCCTTTCAGGCTGCTGCAGGCCGATTCAGATTCTTTGATCTGAATCGGCTTGCTGCCGAATTGCTGCCGAAATTCGTAACTGTTTTCCCCACCATAGAGAACAATGGAGGGGATGGGGCAACCTGTTTGAGGGCCCGTAGAATTGGACCCCCTGGTCCAATGTTCTTGGAACTTGGTTGGTATCTTGGGGAGAGGCTCCAGCAGCTACCCTGCGAGTTTGGAGCCTCTCCCTCAAACCCCTTCCCCTCCAGCCCCCAGAATATACCCTATGTTTTCACCATTGACTTCAATGGCCCATAGGATATAATGGGGCTGAAACTGACATTTGGCTGGCGATAGACTCCTGAATAAGCTGGTACTGCTGAAATTGACATGGAGGAGTCTTTATGCCGGCCGAAATTGATTCTGCCCGATTCGGCCAAATCTGAATTGGGCTGAATTTTTTTTGCACACCCCTAGCACGGCATTAACTAAAGTGACAAAGCTGTTGAGCGCAGGGATATCTTAAAAACTCTTCATTTGTTTTCGCTGAAATGCGTAACTTTCGTTTTCCCCGTCTGTCCAATCCTCACCCGTACAGCTGCACGTACAGGAACCCTCCGGCAATCATCTGAACGCCGAACAGAACCAGCCCACGACCAGCGTCGACCTCGACTTCTTGGAAGATGACATCCTGGGTTCGCCCTCGGGGGGCGGGGCCAGCCTGCAGAACTCAGACCAGCCCTGCGACATCCTCCAGCAGAGCTTGCAGGAGGCCAACATCACGGAACAGACTCTGGAGGCCGAGGCGGAGCTGGACCTGGGCTCTTTCCAGCTCCCCACGCTCCAGCCGGTGGTCCACACCGCCTCCGACGGCACCCCGCAGATCTTTTCCAGTGGGGCTGACCTCATTGGGCTGCAGCAGCCGGCGGTCCTCACCCACCAAGCCCTGGTGCAGCAGTCGGTGGGGGCGGACGTGGTCAATAAAGCCATCAGCGTGCAGCCTTTCCTCCAGCAGGTCGGCCTGGGGAACGTCACCATCCAGCCCATCTCCAACCTCCAGGGCCTGCCCAACGGGAGCCCCAGTGGGGCGCTGGGCATCGGGCAGATCCAAGTGGTCGGCCAGCAGGTGATGGCGATCAACCAGCCGGCGCAGCAGATCATCGCGAAGCAAGTTCAGCCTTCCCAGGTGGCCGCCATGCCCGTCGGGAGTTACATCACCCAGACGGCAGCGGAGCAGCAGCAGGTCACCCTCGCCTCGGCCGGGGTGTCCCCCCAGAACGCGGGCCTTGTCATCCAGAAGAACCTCCCAGCGGTGGCCACGACGACGCTGAACGGGAGCTCCATGTTCGGGGGCGTGTCGGCCACGCAGGGCTCCCAGCCGCTCACCGTCACGTCCAATTTAAGCAGCCCGCTGGTGCAGGCCCAGAACGTGATCATCCACCGGACGCCCACGCCGATTCAGCCCAAGCCCGCGGGGGTCCTCCAGCAGAAGGTGTACCAGATCACCCCCAAGCCCTTCGGCCCCAACAACACCACCCTCACCATCCAGAACGAGGCCGCGCTGCAGCAGCAGAAAGCCCAGCAGAACCTGAACTTCATGGCAGGCAAGGCGGGGCAGAACGTGGTGCTGTCCGCCTTCCCGCCGGGGCTGCCGGCCAACATGTTCAAGCAGCCCCCGCCCCAGCAGCAGGCCCTCAGCAAGCCCATGAGCGTCCACTTGCTGAACCAAGGGAGCAGCATCGTCATCCCCGCCCAGCACGTCCCTCAGGCCATGCTGCAGGGGCAGAACCAGTTCCTTCTCCCGGGGCAGCTCGCCGGCACGTCCACGGTCCAGATCCCCCAGCAGCTCTCGGCGCTGCAGGCCAACATGGGGGGCCAGATATTAACCACCTCCCACCCCAGCGGGCAGACCCATATCATTACTAGCCAAGGGCCCGGCGGGCAGCTGATCACCAATCAGGCGCTGCCCGCCCAGATCCTCACCAATCAGAACCTGGCGAGCCAGCTCAACTTGGGGCAGGTGCTGACGTCGCAGAATGCCCACGGCACGGCCCACATCCTTTCCGGGCCTATTCAGCTGCAGCCCGGGCAGGTCGGCCAGCCGACCCTCTTCCAGATGCCCGTCTCTCTGGCCGGCAGCTTGACAACTCAGAGCCAGCCGACGGTCGCGGCCTCCTTGGCCGGCGGCACCCTCAGTCAGACCGGCCAGACTGTCATCCAGGGGGTCACCCTACCAAACCAAGTGGCTATGCTGAACGCCGCCGAGAACCTCAACCAAACCGTGACCATCCAAGCACCCGCCGGCAGCCAGAGCCCTGGCCTCATCCAGCCTCAGTCAGCCTCCAACGCCAGCTTGTTGCCGAGCGGCGACCAGGCCAGCATATTGACCGTCCAGTCCGCCTCCCAGCCCTCTGCTCCTCCCCAGCTCCAGCTGAACGTGCAGCAGCAAACCCCGCCTCCGCCTCAGCAGCCAGCGCAGTTACCTGTGACGGCTCAGCCCAGCCCTAACTTGGTGGCATCGAGTCCAGAAAAGATTATCTTGGGCCAAGCAGCGGCTGGAAGCGTGGTCTCCCAGGATTCCATGCAGCTGTTCCTGCAACAGGCAAGTGAAGCGGGTTTTCTAGGAGGCTGGTTAGTCTTGCGAGTGCAATTGCTTCTGTCTGTCGTGAAGACCGCAGAAAGCGCGATTTGGTTTCGGAACAACAATTATGTTGCCCTTTCCCCCGTCACGGCTCAGGTGAGGTGTCACCTGACGCTGCCACCACTCTGGTTCCAGGCTCCCTTGAGAAGGCCCAGAGCACCCTCCCAAAACCTTCTGACCTTCCTTTTGGCCGAATAACAGGCGTGAGGACCAGGCAGAGTGAAACAAGGAAAAGGTTTATTTTATAGGAGGTCAAACAACAAGGTGCAGGAATAATAACAGTAAGTGGGTAAAAAGAAAAGAAATCAAATGCCCTAACGCGTCTAAATATATACTGTCCCTAGCTCACTATTCCAAGTGACACTAGACTACTCACCCTTCCCTCCAGATGAGGGTCTCGCCCCTGCAGCAGCCCTCTTGGAAGAAAGAACAGCTTCTGCTCTGGCACCAGCCCTTTTGTTCCCCAGCCCTCTTCTTCCCTATTGGTCAATTTTGGCTTCAAAACCTCTCAGGGGCTTCTGGGAGTTGTAGGCCCAGCCTCACCTACTGCTAGCCAGGCTCCCTGGGCCCAGTAGGCCTCTGGTGGCACAGCCCAGATCATGACACTCCCCTCTTCGGATGGATGGTTATAAAGGCGGTTGTGAAGCCGTAGTCATCCTTTCTTTAATTTAATTTTTCTGAGATCTAGGCCTTCGTAATGACAGCCGACATTATTTCTCTTAAGTAGCTGCCAGGTGCATTGATTTGTTAAGGAGAAGCATTAATTAATACCGTGCCGCCTTTTTTAAAGTGAGTTTCTCGTCATCAAGAGAAAACCTTTCAACTGTCTGTTAAAACAGTGACAGCTCGGATAGTTTTTCAAGGGGAGAATTCGGATGCACTTGCGCAACTCAGTGGTCACAAGACTCCACTGCTCAGAGGGAGCACCGGTCAGATCTGCAGGGTTTGCTGTTCGCAGAAAGGCAGAGGAGCGCTTGACCGTTGGGGCTTCTCCGTTTGTGTGTGGCACCCAGCAGAGGGCGTAAGGACTGATCTGTGACTAGAAACCTCACTATTCAGAGGGCCTCAGGACTCTTTGAGGGGGAGGTACACGTCCCGCAACTTTCCTTTACAGCGACTTTCATATATTACGAAAGAGCATCCTTGAATGTTGGACCTAAAAGAGGGAAGAAAATAAAATTCCATTTAAGACTCCATATGAAGGGTGACCCCCCCCTACTCAGGTTGCCAGCTTCCAGGTGGGCCCTGGAGATCTTCCAGTATCACAACTCATCTCCAGACGACAGAGACCCAGTTCCCCTGCAGCAAATGGTAGCTTTGCCAGGTGGACATTGTGGCATTATACCAGTGTTCCCTCCAGGGCTTTTTTGGTAGAAAAAGCCCAGCAGGAACTCATTCACATAATAAGCCACACCCAACAGCAGAAGCTCATTCGCCTATTAGGCCACACCCTGACAGCACAGCTCGTTAGCATATTAGGCCACACCTCCATGCCTTTCCTCGGCTTGCCCGGGCGCCCCGCGGCTGTGGGGAGCCCGGGCAAGCCCCCCTTGAAGGGAAGGGAAGGCACATTGAGGCACATTGAGGCACTGAGTCGCCGGGGGGGAGTGTTGCTCTCCAGGCCTTCCCTCTGTAGCCACGCATGCGCAGAGGTTTTGGCTGTAGTGGGAGTGGCCAACTCCAAAGCCAGCCGGAACTCCGTTCCTGTGCGCTCCTGCCCCAAAATAGCCCTGGTTCCCTCTGAGCTAAGTTAGTGCGAGCCAGCTCACAGTTTTTTAGCCTTGGGCTCACGCATTTCTGCCTCTGCTCAGGGAGGAGGGCTCCAGGGCAAACTCCATTTACACAGCGGCCAAATCTCCCGCTCACGACTTCAATGCCAGTCCGCTCGCAAAGGAGGAGTTTTGCTCACAACACAGCTTCGGAGGGAGCCTTGCATTATACCCTGCCAATGTCCCTCCCCTCCCAAAACCCTGCCCCCCACTCTCCGGCTCCATCCATCCCTCCCAAATCTCTGAGAGTTTTCCACCCTGGAGTTGGCAACCCTACCATGTGCCATTTGCGGGAGGCAGATGACAGGAGGAAAGGCTCTGAGGAGTGAGATTCTGGACGTCCTTTCCGAGGCTACGTCTGTGATGAGAAGCTTTTGGCACTGGGCGGGGGGGCTGCACAGACTGCTTGCTCGAGAGGAAAAGCAGCCTTGGCAGCAGGTGTGTGTGTGTGGGGGGGGGAAACGGGCAGTCGACACCGATGTGGTCCATGCTTAAATCTCTTGGAAATTTCAGAAGGATCGGAGCCAGCAGCAGCAGCAGTTTTATTCGCCAGCTCTGAAAATGCAGCCGGAGAGCGGTCTGGCCGAGTCCGCCGTGCCCCCCCACCTGCCAATGCCTCTGCCCATCTACAGCATAGCCGCCACCGCCCTCAGCACCACCAGCAGTGTCCCGGCCTCAGTGATAGTGAACAGCAGTGTAGGCGCGGTCCCGCAGCTGCCTACCAGCCGAGAGCTCAGCCAGAGCCGCAACACGCCACCGGCGGATTCCAAAGTGCCTCAGTTCTCCGCCGGCCCTTCCCAGCAGGCACTGGCTTGCCAGGTAGCACCTTGCCCCCACCCCACCCTTTGCAAAACCCCCACGGCCCCCCTCGCTTCGGCCTGTCCCCCCCCCCTCGCTCGCTCCCTCCTGTCTAACACTCAAGTCTTCCCTTCAGCTTCTCTGCTTCCTCCTGCACGCTCTCTGTGCAGAAACACAAAGGAGAGATAATTAGCATCTCGTTTAGGTTTCCCGGCTTGCATTCTTCCACACTTCAAAACAAAGGCTAGGCTTGGGTGTTGGTGGGAGACATGATCTCTCCAACGGTGTTAGAAGTCTCCCCCTTGTGGTCCGTGACGAACAGTACAAGAGAGGAAGAGGGGGGGGGGGGGGGACCTTGGGGCCTTTCTTGGTGCCTTTTTGCCTCCTGGCTAGCAACGAAGAAGAACACTGACACTCACACGCAGGGCTGCCAGCAGTGTTCCCTCTAAGCTGAGTCAGTGTGAGCCAGCTCATGGTTTTTTAGCCTCCAGCTCACACGTTTTTGTCTCCCCTCAGGAAGGAGGGCTCCAGAGCAAACTGATTTATGCAGCAGCCAAATCGCTGGCTCACAACTTTCATGCCGGCAGCTCACAAAATAGAATTTTTGCTCACAAGACTCCACAGCTTAAGAGGGCGCATTGGTTGCCAACTTGCCAGTTCGGTTTAGTTTTGCCAGTTTTGTTTGTTTTTCCCCCAGACAGCATCTTTAGCAGTAAACTGATATGCAGAAATTAAGCAAGTGAAGCTTTTTTCCTGGCATGGAGATTAAGTGACGGGAAAACTCCAGTTTGCCAAATTCCCATGTGTCAGACTAAGGACAGCAGCCTAGGCTCAGGCGTGAGGCCCTCCATCATAGAAGGTGGCGCGCAGGGGGGGGGGCGACAACCAAGAGAACCTACTCACTAGCTAGTGCATGGATTAACCCCTTTAAATCAGTGTTCCCTCTAAGCTGAGTTAGTGTGAGCGAGCTCACAGTTTTTTAGCCTCCAGCTAACAGGTTTTTGTCTCAGCTAAGGAAGGAGAGCTCCGAAGCAAACTGATTTATGCAGTAGCCAAATCGCTCGCTCACAAAGTAGAGTTTTTGCTCACAAGACTCCACAGCTTAGAGGAAGCATTGGTCCAGACCAGTTTTCCCTCTAAGCGGAGTTAGTGTGAGCCAGCTCTCAGTATTTTAGCCTCCGGCTCACACATTTTTGGCTTAGCTCAGGAAGGATGGCTCCAGGGCAAACTAAACTTATGCAGTAGCCAAATCGTTCACTCACAAATTTAATGCCAGCAGCTCACAAAGTGGAATTTTTGCTCACAAGACTCCACGGCTTAGAAGGGAGCATTGCTTTAGATGCCGGTACAGTTTCATGAGGCAGGCAGCTTGTCCCCCATACTCAGAGCTGCAGATTTCAGGGAGAAACAGAGATGTTCCCAAATGTCACACTGAGATATAAAAATAGCAGAGCACTTTATTTTCTGTGAAGCTAGAGCAGAAAGAAAGAAAGAAAGAAAGAAAGAAAGAAAGAAAGAAAGAAAGAAAGAAAGAAAGAAAGAAAGAAAGAAAGAAAGAAAGAAAGGCAAATCAAATTTTTGACACAATCTGTATATAGCTTTGTATAACAGACACAGAAGCACATGGCTTTAGTGCCTTCCCAAAGATAAAAGCAAGAGTCCGGTAACACCTGAAAGACTAACAAAATATGTGCAGGGTAGGAGCTTTTGTGAGCTACTGCTCACTTCTTCAGCAGTGACTCCCGAGATCTCCTCCCCTGCCACATGTTTTGTTAGTCTTCTAGGTGCTCCTGGACTCTTGCTCTTTTCTCCTGCTACAGACAGACCGACACAGCGACCCTCCTCGATCTGTTCCCATAGATAAAGGTTCCCAGGGTTCCCAGGTCGTTTCATCGAACGGTTTGTTTGTTTTTGCCCTCAAGCTGCAGCCAACATATGGAGGCACCCTAGGATTTTTGAGGCCAGAGGCTTCCTTAGTGGCTTCCCCTCCCAAGTGCTAACCAGGGCCGACCCTGCTTAGCAGTCAAGATCTGACGCGATCAGGCTAGCCTGGGCTATTCGGGTCAGAGCGTAGTTAGGTTCCTCCAAAGGCACCTTAACCCCCTGTGCTCCCTGGGCCCTAACTAGAGATGTAAAAGTTCCGGAAATTTTGAAGCTTCCGTTTTTTTCCGGGGGGAAACAGAAGTGTTTATGGAAAAATTGAAAAAAAATGCTACAATAGCACTTCTTTTTTCTTTTCCAGATTGAAAGTAATTCTGTTACTTTAGGAACATAAAATATGACTATGGACATTTTTGCTTGGCATGAAATTATCACAACTAGCCTATTAAAAATATAGTGTATCCAAACCATTATTGCAAACAGAATACCCACCCACATGCAAAAACAAAACTGAGACCTTTTTCTTTTCTTGTGACGACAGCACCTCCTAAAGGAAGAAATGCATCTTGTTCTTGCATTGGAGAGTTCAGTTTGTAACCTAGGACTTGCTTGTCCTCAGCGCACAGAAATTAGATCAATCTGGTACCATACGTATATATTTTAGAAATGATTTGGAAAATATTTGAACACTTTGTCTTAAAATATTTTATTCATCA